GGGTGAAAGGGAAGTTGTACATATTCATAAGATCCCCCAGCAATCTCATGTTTATGCACTTGGGGCAGATCGGGTTGCGTGTGCCTTTGTCACGTGTCCCATGTGCAGAAACGGGAGTCCTTAGCATGCTCCTGGAGGCAGATTCTGAGGAAGCACTCATCATGTGCCTGTCTCTGGGGCTGGGGAGGCAAGGTGGGCCAGAGGGAACGGATCCAGTGAAGGCTGCTCCTTACACCCCCGCCCCCTGTAAAGCAACGTAGAGGAAGTTGTTTCAGGTGTAGAAGCTGTGGTCCTGATTTAGGGTTGGCAGGCTGAGGACATGCTTGTCTGAGAGGCATGTGCTGGCAGGGCGCCCTGGGCCAGTTCCCTGCGCTCTGCGCCATTGGGGAGCCTCCCACTGCTGCGGACCAGGGGTGGGGGAGGCTCCCGCATGGCGCAGAGCGCAGAGAACTGGGCCCAGGGCAGCTGCCATCAGCCACTGAGGCTACAGTGTGTGCCTGCCTGTGCGTGGGGGGTAGCTTCCTTGAGGGTCAAGTGAGTTGAAGGGCAGCAGAAACCTGCCCCGGGGAGAGGAGGAGGCTGCAGTCCCCTGGGAAACATATAGTCAATAACCTGGGCAGACCATCCTGTGGGTGTCCTTAGCAGCCCCAGGGTGGGCCTGGCACCATCATGGCTGACATGTCTAAGAAGGGAGCCTCCTGGGAGCCTCCCTGGTTCCAGCGCATGCATGGAGCACGGTGCACGCGGTCTGGTCCAGGGCTCGGGCCCTGGGCGCACAGCCTCCGGTCCGCACCACAGCCAGGGCTTTGGAAGCAAAGACGGAAGTCAGCACGCAGCAGGTAAAGGGATGGCTTTAATGGGCGCCACAGAGCAGCATCACTCAGATCCGCTCTGCTTGCGCCCCACCAGCGAGAAGAGCCCTTCGTTGTCGGCCGTGGTGGAGGAGTAGGGCTGCGAGATGACGTGGAACTGCTCGATGGTGTAGCCGGCCTCCCTGACCGCGGCCTCCACGGCCTCCCGGCCCAGCGAGAGGCTGGAGAACTTCTGCTTGCCGATCGTGTAGTAGCTACTCTTCAGAGCATCGACCATCACCAGGAAGCCCCCGGGCTTGAGCAGGCTGCCAAGGTTCCTGAGGGCCTCACGGTAGGTGGGGAGGTCCGGGCAGGCCGCGTCCAGGCACAGCGTGGTCAGCAGGCAGTCCGCAGGGGGCAGGGACACGGGCCCTAGGGGCTGGCTCTGGGTCACGTCACACTTCACGACCCACTTGACCGCCCGTCGCAACTTCTCCTCCTTCTCGGGTCCCTTGACCCTGAAAGACACAAACGCACCACGTGACCGGCCTGCCGCCCCAGCCGCGGGGACAGGCCATCCTCAGGTCAGGGCAGAGAGGTCATCTCCCTATAAAAACCCAGTTCCCCTCGGTGCAACGTCAACTCCTGCGGATCTCTCCATGGGTATCAAGATGGAGCACTGCTTACAGGGTTTTTAAAGGCTGGTTTCTGGCAAGCTTTTAAAAACTCAGGACTTCCTCCCAACATACCTCTGCGTGTGCTCAGGCTCCCAACCTTTCTGGTAGCAGCCAAGTGTGTTTGCTGCATGTGTTAGTCTGGGTCCTTCAGAGAAACAAGTCCACAGAAACTCACGTATGAGAGAGCTTTATATAAAGGTTAAGTGCACATCAAGAAAACATCCCAACCCAGTGCTGCCCAAGCCCAAAAGTACAACATTAGCCCA